AAGGAAAGGGAGGTAATGACATTCCCGGTAATATACCCCAAAAAATCCACTATTGGTAATGTAAGATTACCGGGAATGACATTCCTTAAGATTACCGGGAATGACATTCCTGACCAACCAAACGGGGAATGTGGATTCCATTCCCATGGGAATCTCACATTCCCCCAACCAAACACACCCGGATGTTTCTGTTTCTTTTACTTTTAAAAATAAGTAGAGTTTCAACTTCAACCTAGAGCTTTCTAAAGATCACTTGTATGAACTTTATGGAACATTTCCCCCTTTATTTCAAGCACATGAAGTATTTACTTTATAAATCTTAAACCTTTATTTGCTTCTGTTTGCAGATTATAGGAAAAAGAAAATGTGTAATTGCAGGGACTCTAGAATTTTGACAAACACTAAGCAATCATAAAGATTAAAACCAAGCCACTTGCAATTCACTGCCATTTTGTCATACAAAAATGAGGGATGGATTGCCTATTTCTTTTTAGTTATGTTAATTCTATGTTTAAGGTAGCATTTTCAGCTTCCACTCATCCTTTTGATTCTATGAATATCTGTTCATTAAAGTTTACTCTTTGTTTTCATTTGAGATTGAGTTGATTTGAGTTGGTAATGTTTTGTTAGTTGTTAGTTGTTACACTATACAAGCTAAGGAGCCTAAGATATCTGCCATATCGAAGATTGATTAAAAAGCTCAACCTTTGGTTTTCACTTAATGATCTGATCCATTTTACAGTTTGGGGATTCAACCGAGATAACCAAAGAGACAGTGGTCGGTCAGCACCAACGTCGGGATAACCTCGTCTTAAAGATACCACCTACAAGTCCCGAGGAGAACACGAGGAAGGAATTCGTGAGAATAGACATGGCCTTAACATCAACAGCTACTCCTAAAAGAGTAAATTTTTCACCCATGCCTAGTCCTATTGTTTCCAGATTCGAAGAGTCCCCGGTGCGCTCATCGCCAAAATGTAAATCATCCTTAAAAAGTTTCCTTCCCAAGTTGAGTTTCAAATACCACAACACTAATTTGGAGATTGAGAAGGCTGTCATCTTAGCGCTGGGAGGATTATCTGCAGATATGCAAGAAAAGCTTCGCATCCCGAGGACGTTTTCCCTATCAAAGCTTTTCACACCAAGGGCTGAAAATACATTTCCGTTACCTGGTACTACAATCACACATTCAAACCCTGAGTCCATGCATGGCGGGCAGGTAATTAGCCTACTAAATTCTGCAGCAATTGTTGTACTCATTAGCTAGCTACCTTCCTCTGTGTCACCCAGGATCCTTAACAACTATTTATGTTGTTCTTCTACGAAGCTGTCAATTCATCATGCTCGTTATATTCATTGGCATTTATATCTATAACTGATGCTTATATACTCCGATACCTGGTTAATTTATTGCTCCGGAATTTTCTGTGATTGTAAATGTTTGCTGCACTTACCAAGTTTGAAGAGTTCCTTGACTGTGTATGCAGAACATAATCTGGGGAACTTGGAATTTCTTTTAAGACTTATGGTTGTGAATTTGAGAAATCATGGTGTCAATATCTCTTCTAAGGACTGCAGTTCTATTTTATGCTTATCGCCTATATAATTTATTTGTCGCGTGAATTTGCATTTTGACCTTTACCCCTGCAGTGTGTATTGTGTAATACTATTTGCTACTAGATTCTAACGGAATTGCTCACTTGCAGAAGGGGGAGCTGCTGGGCCACCCATCCATCGTTCACATTCAGTGCCTGTGCTCATCAAAGATGGAAGCATAACACAGTTGGATTCTTTAGGCACCGTATGTCGTGTAATTCCTACAACTCCACAAGCAGTCAAGGGATCTGTTGTAACAACATCAAACATAATTACCAAAAGTGATACTGGTAATTTTAATCTGCAGATCGTCTTTATTTGCTCTTAGAAGTTAGAAAGAATTAAAAAAAGAAAGAAGGGCCATAATTTTAAGATCAGTAACTTGACATATTAGAAGACGTCTGTTAAATGGTCCATTTCAGTTCAAATAGCGTAAACTTCACAGAGGAAGAAATACCCCGAAATTTTCACTTTTGATTTATTTTTTATGCTTGTGATAACCATCCTATGTCTTATGTTAGTCTTATTCTTCAGATGGAAACGATGATGGCTGTGAAGATATTCCCGAAGAGGAAGCTGTGTGTCGAATCTGCTTGATTGAACTAGGAGAAGGTGCTGAGACCCTCAAGATGGAATGTGGCTGCAAAGGAGAACTTGCCCTTACCCACCAAGAATGTGCTGTAAAATGGTTTAGCATCAAAGGTAATAAAACTTGTGACGTGTGCAAGCAAGAGGTCGAAAACCTACCTGTTACTCTTTACGAGTTCAAAATGTTCAGGTTCATAACATGAGAGGAACTGGGGTAGAGGCTCCTAGATACAGGCAAGTATACGGTGTTCATCTCTGCAGTTGGCTACAAATGATGAATGTAATCTGTTTTACCTTCTTTTAAAACTCCCGAACATAAAATACTAAATTACTTCTCAACAATGGACATTATGCATTTTATGCTTGTATTTCGCAGGGTCTGGCAGGATGTTCCCATCCTTGCCATTGTTAGCATGCTTGCTTAATTTTGTTTTCTCGAGCAGCTGCAGGTACGTTTAGCAAATACGAAAATTCTTCCTTCCTTTCAAGCTTTTAAGTTGTTCCTAAAGTGTCATTATATGCCCAGGTTTCGAAAATGAAGTCCGGTGCAATTGTCATCTCTCTTCCTTTCTCCTGTATATTGGGTCTCCTTGCATCCATGACATCAACAACAATGGGTAACTTTCTTTTGACAGGCTCGTTCCTGTGAATTTCATTATCTGTCTTACTGACCTTGTTTCTTTTTCCAGTGAGGAGAAACTACGTCTGGATTTATGCTACCATTCAATTCGGACTGGTGGTTCTTTCGGCTCATCTTTTCTACTCACTGGTAAGAGGAATACTCTTTTCTTGGTAATGCCATCGTTTGAACAGCAATAATTTAGTCGTCTTTGATTATAGCTTGCGTTATTCGGATACTGAACCTTCCATAATTGATCGTATATCCTCTTGTGATCTACAGCTCCACTTACAGGCTGTTCTCTCCGTTCTTCTCTCTGCATTTGTCGGGTTTGGTAGCACGATGTATGGAACCTCTATTATTTACAAGATTTCAAGTGTGTGGAGAAGGCGGCGTGCCGGGTCAAATCAACCACTTAGTTCTCAAGAGGCACCGTGGCCGGATCAACCACCAGTAACAGTACTGCAACAAACACAAACGGATCAGTCTAATGAAACCGACATGAGAGCTTTAGGAAGTGGGAATGCCAATCAACTTAACACGTCTATCATGTGCAAAAAATGGTATAAAATGAAAGCATTCTGCTGTATATATACCGACTCATTATATACTGATGCTTTTCATGCTTGGCTATTGTTGGTTTTATTAATACAAACTGGTCATAGCTCGATGCAGTGCCGACTAACAACAACCCCACCAGAATGTTGAACCGTTTCACTGGTTAAAGAGAGTTATTTTTTTTTTTGAAGTTTCGGATTCGAACAGTTATATCTATAGGACGTGTGTGTATTATTATTGATTAAAAAATTATAAATAGATATTACTTACTCTTATTTTATAATCACTCCAAACTATTCAAAAAAAAAAAAAAAAAACTTACCTCATCACTTGGTTTCACTATGCGGGATTTATCCATCGAGAAAAATAACGATCCCTCGAGTTTGATAGTATGAAAAAACATTTGAATTTCCCTTAAAATCCTCCAAATTTGGTTTTTAATACTTAAATAAGTGATATTTAAAAAAGTAATTCCTAGATTTTGAAAATAAAATTTGTAATGAATATTAATTCGATTAAATCTGGAATTTCAAAAGTGAATTTGCAATATCTTCATTTCACATGCAAATTATTTATTTCTTTTACTTAATCTTACGATTAGTTGGACTGAAAGCAACTCGAACTGAAACAAATCGAACCGAAAGTAATGTGAATTAGTTTATCCATATCTGATTCGAACTTAACTTCGACCTGATTTTAACCCGACAATTGAATCTAAGTGAATGAATAATTTATTTATTTATTTATTATTATCTATTTTTAGCATTGATAAATAGTAAAATAATATATGTTTTATTCTTATTTTATATTATACTACTAGTTAACTATCACTTCTAGTAATAGTTTAATGGTTCAATATAATCTTTCATCAGTTAAAAGATCATCTCTGCATCTGATGAAATAACTTACAGCTCTGAATTTGGACTGTGATAATATATAATCAAATAAAATTCTTGATTTTAAAGATTTATTTATTCGATTGATTCGATTGATTAAAACTAAAATTTATAGCTCTGAATTTAGGGTGTGACAATATATATTCACATAAAATTCTTGAATTATAAGTAATAAAGAGCATCATCGAAAGTTATGACAACAAAAAGCAACAACGATTGACATAAAAATTTAAAAGTTGACCTGAACTAAAATTGATCTGAATTGACCTGAAAATCTAATGGTTGACCCGAACCGAAACAAATCGATATGATATTGACCCAACCGGAAGTCAACTGATCTAATATTGACCCGACCTGAATTCGACCGATCTAATATTAACCCGATCTGAAAATTAACTAATTTGATTTTGATCCGACCCAAATTGAATTTTTATATACCTAAATTATACTCGAACCAGATTTAATCCGTCAAACTAAATCTAAACCAAAATAACCTAAATCCAAAATGGCCCGACTCTAAATGACCCGATTGTCATCTCTAACGATGTGAAGTCAATTTATATTCTCCCCACTATCAAATCTAAATGTGTTTAATGATATTAAAATGGGATTTTCTTTAATGGTAACCTTAGAGTTAAATCTCAATTGGACTGGAAAAATGGGCTTCAACTTTCAGCTGGATCATGGAAATGCCATAAACAGTCCCTTATTCATTTGCTTAAGCCTCATTCTTTTGATTATTATTTTTTTTTAATTTCGTCCAAATTTGTGTTGCTGAGCAGCTCAACCGTTGGGTTCGCAACGATGTCGGACGAGTTCGAGTTCGCCGATAAGGTTCCTCTCTTTTGATCGCTTTGTATTTACTTTTTATTTAAAGATTTTTCATTTTATATTTGAATCTCTCTTTAAATCTCATTTTCACTGTATTGAACGAGATCCGTGATAAATTAATTCCAATTTCTCCTTCTAATTTATCGATCTGGATTTGTTTCCCTATCATATACTCTGTTATCCTGCCGATCTAGTGTTTTATTTCACCTTTAGTTTCATTTTTTTTATATAATTTTGCACTTAATTTTAATTTTCCCTCCCCATGTCAATTGTTCGTTAATCCAATATTAGGATATTATTGCATGCAAATTATCAGTTTTTTTTCTTTTGAGAAAATCTTTGCTGTAAATACATCTTTTGCTGCTAGATCAGATGCTTTCTTTGAGCAGATAATAATTTTTTATTGAAATGAATGAAAGAAAAGGAAAAAAAGTGTTTTGTTGTTCGTAATTAACGTGCTTTGGTTCATTCTTAATTCAAAATAATGGTAATGATAGTAATTAGTATTGTTTGTATATTGTTGATTGAAGCATTAATTTTTGACATTTATGTATCCATTGATTTTTCTGCTGAAGATAAGCTGAGAAGCCATTGAAATCATTGTACAGTCTATAATTCTTGGAATATGAACTCCATTTGTAAATGGGATTCGAATAATCAATCCGGACTGAGTTCCGATATTTATCGATACCCTAAATCGAAAAGAAAATGAAATGAAAATGGAAGCTGAATTTTCAAAGACAACCTGAAATTATCTTCACTTGCGTGGTTTGTCAAGGATAATGGTCTGTCAAAATAGAATGTCCCTTACAATTTATTTTTCAAGTGAGTTTTATATCAGCATTTTGTAGCATGACAAATACGCTGTTTCTATACATGGGTGAGGTATTTCTTTTTGGCCTTTGTGATCGTTAACCATCTCGAATAATTTTATGGTGTCTAGATAGAAACATTGTGTGATTATTTTCTACTAAATTACTAATCCTACAGAATGATAGATTTTTCATCCGAAGCAATATGCTTTATGCATGTATTTACTGTTTGTGCTACTCGGACTTTTCATTTTTCTAAAGCACCAATGTGCGACATAGTTGGATAGGGTATGGTGGTCCTCCAAATACGTGATGAAGAACTTTTAGCAGGTAGTTGTGTTTCTGTATTGTATGTTTACTTGGTTGTAATAATTTAGTTTTTGGTGATGCAATAGGGAAACAAGATTATCTACGAAAAAGAAGCCAAAGGGTTCAACCCTGGATTGATAGTACTGCTCGTTGTTGGGGGACTAATGCTGATGTTCCTTGTGGGGAACTATGTCCTTTACTCATACGCACAGAAGACACTTCCTCCTAGAAAAAAGAAGCCGGTATCCAAGAAAAAGATGAAGCGGGAGAGGCTGAAGCAAGGAGTCTCCGCACCAGGTGAGTAGGAATTCAAGGTTTGGTATCCGTTTAGTTGCGATAAGCCATCGGCAACCCTTGTGAACTGTTTAGAGGACTGTAGGCAACTGAAATAATGTCCACTGGCTGATGTTTGTTCGGTGGAGTTTCAGAGGTCTTTTCGTTTTTCTGTTTAGAAAGTCATATAGTAGTGTTCAAGCTTCGGATTCTTGGAATGCATAGCATGTTGAAAAATGAAGTTTTTTATCTTTATCATTTCAAAAGGAAGGCATTAGAATCCAGAGTTTGGCAATATTATGGTATTTTAAACTTCTTTTAATCAAAATGGCAGTCAAACAACATTATTGACGGAAATGACGTCCTTTTGATAAAGGCACGCGGATGTGGAAGTGCCTTTCAAAATGTACGTTTTAATTTAAAAAATATGAATGCTAATTAATTGATGATTAAATTTAATTCTTCTTAGAAATTTAATGATTAAATTTAGTTTAGAAATTAAGGAGGGGAGTTTTAATAAGTATATATGAATGCTAATTAATTGATCTTGAAATTCATTTTATTTACTGTTTGTATTTACAATTCACACGATAGATTAAGATGTAACCATATTATATTTGTCAAACATGATTAAGTAATTAAAATTTCTGATAATTATGAGTATAATTAACTATAATTCAATTAAGTTATGGTGTCTGAACACATCTTATATAATTTTAAATTTAAAAAGTAAAAATATGTTAATTAAATCTTTAAGTTAAAGTATTATTTTATTTAGATTTATTTTTTTATCTACTTTGGCGTTAAATACCTACTAATTGGATTAAATGTTTCAGAAATATTTATTAATTTGTGTAGATTAAAAAACTTCTTAGAGATATGAATTGACATTTAATTTCTTTTTTATTAACACGTGGTGATTACAAGATAATATATGTTCATATTTTTTTAATTAATTAACAACACACTAACAAATCTACTCGAAGTCATAACTTCTAAAAATAATAATATTTTTTATCACCGAAATCACTTAATGAGTTTAGTTTCCGTTCAACTCTAAAGTTGGAGTTGATTGAGATATTTTAATTTAAATATTTAGTTGAGAGAGTTTGAAAGCTTAGAATGTTAAGCTTATCAAAGTGTTTGCAAATCCTAATAGAGAAAAGGCAGAAGAAATCCAACTTTCTGGATAGTTATATATATAAAGCTTTTAAAATATATGAAATAGACATGCTTCTAAATGAAGTCTTGATGGTAATTAGTACTAAGAAATTAGATGATCTTTATTTTGTACCTTTCTCTCTAACAACCCCACACATGCTTTTCTTTTCTAAATACAATTGAAGATAGAAATTTTTTTATTTTTTTTTTATTTTGTAAAATACGTATTACTTACGTTTTATTTCAATAATTTAATATTCTTATTTCTAAAAGTATTTTACTACTTAATAATTTATTTTAATTACTTACTACTAAAATATTAATAGTAAGTTATTATATATATATATATATATATATATATTGTTTATAAGCTAAATGTGATTACAAAGTTGTATATATTCCAAGTATGATCAACCATTTAGCGATGGACGATAAACGCCCAATCACCCTTGCAGTCGCTGGTGCTCGAACACGTAACCTCTAAGAACAACAACAATTTCTTTAACCACTGAAGTAAGTTGAATTGTGCTTCAAATTGATATATTATATATAAATAATCAATTTAAAAATAATTAAATTAATATATTTTCAACTCATCTTGTAATGTCCAAAGTAGATATTTTATCTTTTTTTTAAAAATTACTTTTAGATAACAATACTAAACATTTAAACTTTAAACTTAACTTTTCAAAATCACTTTCTAACATCATCTTTCAAAATCACTTTTTAAAAACATTACTAAAATTTGTTCTCTTCTTTTCTTTTCTTTTCTTTTATGTTGTGTATGCCTCTGATTTTAGCCTTTATTTAATAAAGGTTTATATTTAATAAGGGTTTTTTTTATCTAAACATATCCCCATTTAAAAATAATTTATCATTTTAATATCTATTCTAGATTATTTCTTAATCTAATACTCTTTTATGCCACGTAAACGGAGCTCTTTTCAAAAGACGCTTTTTGCGGGAAGCACGTTCCACTAAAGTATAACAAAAAGGCTATAACTTTTAAAATTGGACTGAAATGAAAAATATAAAAAAAATAGGGGGAATATGAATGAAAATAATATTAATTTTATTCAAAATGAATAAAACGGACATGGTGCTTGTTGAAAACACGTAATTGCACAAGCACAAGCAAGAGTTAAGTCAGGCAACCGTGACAACGCACATTTATTAGCCCATATTGTTTAAATATGTGGGTTTCAAGTGTTTAAATGTGTGGATTTTCAAATGTTTGAATATAACATTTTAAGTTTATATTTATTGAATGATTGAATATAAGACTAATACATGCATTTCGTCGTCGCCACCTGGCTCATGCTCGTGCAAGTGCAATTATGTTTCTTTGATGTGCACCATACTCGTTTGATTTTTTGGATAAAATTTATATAATTTTCTTTCATAATTTATGCCTATTTTTCTTCTTCTTTCATTCAATTCCAATTTAAAAATTTCAGGCTATTTCATGTCACGTAAACAAAAGATGTTTTATGTATAAAATGTCTTCTGAAAAGAGCTTCTTACAAGAAGCGTCTTTTGAAAAATGCTTCTTGAAAGAAGTGTCTTCCACTTACGTGGCACAAAATTATGCTAGATTCGTAAATAATCAGCAATGAATGTAAAAATGATATATTTAGTTATCTTTTATGATATTTGAGTAAAAAAACCAAGGTATTACTTATACATTATTAATATATCAAATAATAATACCAACAACTAGTTGGTCTAGTAGGATAAGACATTAGATTCCTTAAGCAATGTCAGAAGTTCAAAGCCTGACATTTGTGAATGGAACAAATTGGTTTGGGAGGATTGCTCTGTCTTTGTAGTATCCGATCCGGATTAATTGATTAATAAATTGAATACTAATGATTATAAAAAAAAATCAAATAATAATATATATTATAAAAATTAAATTATATATTATTATTAATCATGTACTATCATCTTATTAACAAAGATAATATATAAAATTATACAATATTAATACATCAAATATTAATCTTAAAAATAACATTTATATTTATATGAGTTCATTGATCCAAAAGCTTAACCGACAGCTATTAAAAAAACCTTTTAAATTATTTGTATTTGGCATTCATATCAAATATGTTTTTAACATGATATAAAATTATATGATTTGAATTATTATTTTTTTGAATTAATTGTGTTGATTAGTCCTATTTTATAACTTAATTTTTATTTAATTTCTTTTCGTGTGGAGTCGAGTTTTTGAAATTCAAGTCGAGTTGGTTCGAGTTGTTTAAGTTTTTGTTTAAATTTAATTATAAATATTTATAATATTATAATACTATTTAATTCTAATTTTAAGGTTTAATATAATTATATATAATATATGTATATATATTCGTAATTTTCGTACTCATATAGAATTAAGAGACTCAATTCGAATATAAAAATTAATATATTATATTAAAAGAATTTGAATTATTCAAATTTTATTTTATACATCGACTCAATATATAAATACACTCTGTATGACCACGTACATGTACCAATGCCAACACTTGCATATTTTATTAGTTAAAATGAATAATAAGTTGGCACCTTTCCTCAAGTATACTTTACCAGGCCTCTACTCAAGCTCACAGGTTTCCTTTTGACAAAGGAGATTACTTGTGAAAGCAACTAAGCAACCTTCTTCTACAACGGAAAATACCCCATCATTTTCATTTCTCTACAACTGTGAGCCCCCCCCCCCCCCACCCATTCAATCAACTTCCTGCTTAAATTACATGTTATTGTGTCGTATATACATAAACAAAAGAATTTTGTTTTTGTTACTACGCAACATTTACACCAATGTGGCTATTGTCTGATGAGGAACCGGAGATGGTGACATTACCATCGCAGTGCCAGTCAGATACACTGTCTTGTAAGTTTAATAATAGTTGGGAAGTACTGAAACTCGTTGAAGGTTTGGTTCTAGGAACAACTGGGACCACCGCTTCACCCACCAGCATTTGGACCACACTTCTCATTGTGGGTCGAGACGCTGGTTCAGGGTGCGAACATGCTAATCCAACCAAAAGCGCCCTCCTCATCTCGGCCTCATCAAATTCGCCTTCGAGTCTAGCATCTGCGGCATCCAACAACCTACCTTCTCTATGCAAACTCCAAATCCATTCCACTAAATTGCCACTTGAAATGTCTTTCCCTGCCGCGTTACCGTCTCCCTCGATCGGTCTTCTTCCACCAGCCACTTCTAGAGCCACTGCTCCATAGCTGAACACGTCGGTTTTATCAGTTGCTCTCCCTGTTTAAAAATATTCAGGAGCCAAATACCCCATTGTGCCGGCAGCCACAGTTGCATCCGGGGACTTGTCGTGCTCGACTTGCCTGGCTAAACCGAAATCCCCTAGCTTTGCGTTGAAAGCTTCATCCAACATTATGTTGCTGGTCTTGACATCTCTATGGATAACCTGGTGATCACACTCTTGATGCAAATAGGCCAAAGCTGAGGCCACACCTACCAAAATTTTCTGCCTATGAGGCCATGGCAATGGCGTTTTGGCTTCGAATAAAGCTTTATAAAGACTCCCGTTGGGCATTAAATCATAAACTAATAAGATTTCTCCTTTCTCTTGGCACCATCCTTGCAGTCTTACGGGATTCCGATGCCTTAGAGTCCCAATTATTAACAACTCGGATAAAAACTCGTTCTTCCCTTGTCTATTATGACTGCATCTTTTGACGGCTACAATGTCGCCGTTGTCGGGCAAAATACCCTTATAAACAGTCCCGAACGCACCGTGGCCGATTATTCTATTGGCATTGAAGCATCTCGTGGCCGCCATCAGCTCTTTATATGTGAACTGTTTGGGTGTTTTGATCATCTCCGATGCAATAGAATGGTCTAATTTCTTCACGTCCTTCAACTTTTTTGAGTAAGCCCATATCAAACCTCCTGCGAATAAGGCTAAAAAGAAAGCTCCGGCGGTTACCACCCCTGCAACTGCCCCTGGACCTTCTTTGCAAAGCTGGTTATGGCATGAAGAAGAAGGCGGAGGCGGAGGCGAAGG